ACGTGTTACTACAAGAGATCACTGCAGACGTCATTAGATGAACGTAATGCACTTTTCATTTATACATTTTTCCTTTTTATTTGAAATCATTTTTACAATACAAATCATATTTCAAAGAACAATGGAACTGCAGGCCAGTGAAAATATTTTCATTGCAATATTTGCTGTTATTTATTGCGCAAGTTAGGTTAGGTTAGCAGCGAGGAGATCATTTATTGAAAGCAACTTGAAATTGTGCAAAGCATTGCATTGCAACTGCATTTCAAAGATACTAAATCAAACGCTCATTCAACACAGACATGCCGTATGCTAATAGTTTACACACAAATGTATGTAAGAATGTACAAACATATATATAGGTATAAGTATGTATATTTGTAAAATTGCACTTTCCACAATTTTATATGCGGACTATCTTAATGGAAGAGGCGCACACACTTGACTGATTGAAAATGCACAAATGTTTGTGGATGTGTGCATATGTAGATATGTATGCATGTCGATATGTATGTATGTATGTTTGCGAAAATATTATCTGTATGAATATCTGCTAAGCAGTAAAAGCTATTCAGCCAATCAAGCATTTCATTGCCGTTAGTATTTTAATTAGAACACAAGTCAAGGATCAGAATGCAATAAAAGGCGCGAAAAATGAGAGAAAGTGCGCATGCATTTCCCCAACTAATTCTCCAACTCATTAGTCATACTTCATTCTGAATACATAATTCAAGAAGTTGAGCCAAGAAGGGTAGGCGACCAGACCAAACAAATTGATGTTCCCACACAATCAACTGCATGGACCAATAAAGAATATGTAAGTTCAATTGTGCAATAGTAACGGTTTCAGCTAAATAAGCCTTTAATATCATATATAGGTATTTATATATATAAAAGTATATGTGTATGCGTATCTATCCAGCTGCTAATCCAATTAAATTCCGAGCGACAAGACGCTGAAGGTGGCCTCTCGAGTTGTGCCGGTCGGCGGGTGGTTGACTGGTTAGCAACCGGCCATTTCAGAACGCATTCGCAATCAAAAGACATATTGTGCCAGCGAAGGCAAGTCGCGTTGTTGTGGGCGCACATCTTCATCTTCTACGCTCAGCAAATAAATACACAAATTTGTACATATGTATGCATGTATGTATGTCTGTATGTACTTAGTCACTGACTAGTTTGCCCGTTGCACAATATTTAATTTGAAAATTGCAAAACAAATAATTCAGCATATGGACGACGGCGCATTTGTGTACCCCACTTGCATCTACAAAGCTACAAAGAATAATAATATGCTATAAACAACAACGAAATGGAACTGTGTATTTGGAGAGATCATGTGAAATGACAATTTATGACATTTGACAGAGCAAATGTGGGGATAAGTATCTTACGCGTGGAACTGTTACATGTATTGATTCGCAAATTTGTTTTATAGCATATATATATTATATATACTATACTAAGCATATATACATAATTATATATTTATTTAAGTATGTACATACATATAAACCAGACAGGCGGAAAAGTTCGCATTGTTTCTAGAAGAGGGAAGCACTAGAAAATCGAACATCTATAGCAACTACTAAATGGCTTTAAACGAACGTTTGCAAAGAGTTGCCCGAGTCTCTCACTTCTACGCAATGCCTTACCCATCGGCTGAAAAGTCTTTGGCGTAACTTTAATCTCGACATCACATCGATCCAAAAACACACAGTAATCTAATAATAAATGTTTTATCATGTTTGAAGTAGTCGATGAAATCTAAACCATGTGAATCCCGAAAAATTGTGTATGAAACATTGCCGGCCGACTATTATACAATATTTTCGGGCGCTTTGGGCGATTTCATCATTCAGCGGACTGCCGGATGCATAAACTCGTTTTTATTGTGTTTGATCAGTGCCAGATGGTCCTTTGAATGTTGATCACGTATGAGTCTCTTCTGGTTAAATAGGAGTTTAATCAGCTACAATAAGCAAAATGAAGTTGTGCTAGTCACTCTTGTTTCACGCGGCAGCTCGAGCTCTTGTTCTGCAATAGGTGTTGTTTGGACTGCAAGTACGCCATTCACTAGAATGGAGTCAATGAAGTTGTCGGTTTCTGCAAAAACACCCGTGCAGAAACTGCTTGGAGAGTAGTGTGTTAGGCTCCATTACAGGGAGCATGCGGGCCTATCTCTGTCGATGCTCGATGGGAGACATCCTGTTATAGTCCAGTCTGCGTCCTGATGTATCCAGACGACCAGATTAAGGCAACGTAGTTAATGACCGGCCGGCCGATACCTTGTGCTGCCGATTAGTGACTTGAGGATCTAAAATTTGAGGGTTGTTTATCGTCGCAATTTTCATATCATCAACGGAAATTTTGAAGTTCAGTCTGTACTTCTACGTTTAGTTGAGAAATAGGGTATCAGGGGAGAGTTTTAGGCTCCTAGCAGTGAAGAAGCGAGAAAGTTTTAGGAGATATTCGTTCACTTTGGATCGCTCATACATCGTCTTCATTTATAAAAATTAGGTAATTATATAACAAACTGGTGCCTTAGTGATGCCAATGGTGTTAGCTAACTGAGGTGACAGTTCTTGATCGGAGACAAATTCGTTCCGGTTACGTTGTTGTTGTAACGTCAGAAAACATTTCTGAAGTAATTTCGAAGTATGGTACTGAGTTGACAGTCTTGGCCGAATAAACAACCGGATCCGTTCCGGTTACTGAAGACCCGACTGTAGAGGGAACGGAACGTATTCCGGTAACGTATACCCTGACGGTTGGTGTTGGTACGTTTACGGTGGACATTTTAGGTCGGCTATACATATGTATATATGTATGTATGTACATATGGCTGGGTAGATTCGCAATTGTCGCAACGGAAATCTGAACTATGGATTATACTGTTACAAAATGATGTCCCTACCAGAACCTATCGGATATTAGTGAAGCAATCTATGTGCTCTTTGCGACTTTTACTGATGATGCCGATTGAAAAGAAAATTAATATGCTAATTAGATGTGAAATACTGTTTTAACAATAGTAAAACTCATAATGAAAAATTCTACTATAAATGTATAATATAAACTTGTAGTATATAGTCACAAAACGTTAAATTAGCATTTGAAATAACGATGCATATTATTCGTAAACAATTAGGTGACACAAAATGTTTGGTAAATAACAGGTGTTTTTGTCTGTCTCCTGTTGACTTTTAGGTGCACGCCATTGTATGGTGCATTCCATACAAACATATGTACACATTTACCTATATACAAAACATATGTACGTGTAATACAAAGTGTATACTCAAGTGTTTATGAACAATAAAGCAAATTAGAAAACATTGTTTTACTTGATAAAAGGGCGATTAGGAGAAATACAGTTTAGACTATGCAGCAGAGCAGCAGTGAAAAATTTGCAAAAGGCTTTACCATAAGTAAAGTTTCAAGACAATTTCATAATGTTATTATATACAACATATATGTTAAGATTACAGTTAGGTACACAGCGGTTAATTACAAAGTTATTTCCAGTTTCGCTGTTAAAAGATTTATTTCGTGAATTTAATTTGATTATCATTTGAAGATGAGAAATTTTAGTGCCTTGATGGTAGATATTTAATGAACATACGTTCAATTACATCGGTACTAGTAGACATAGCTGTGTGTTGTCCATCGTCCAACTCGAATTCGTCATTAGACTCAATAATACTAACCTCTAACTTGCATGTCGAGCAATTCCAAGTTGTAAAACCTTTATTACGAAGCTCAGCGAGATAATAAAAAGAATTTTTAATTCTTTTTCAGTTAAGCTACTACACTTCTTGTGATAGCACTTTTTACAAACATAGCAGCCGATGTTACTAGTATTTTCTCTAATTATTTTATTGCAACCTTGACAGGTTTGTTTACATGCCGCCATCTTGTTTCATATTCTAGAACAATTCCTTGAATCGGAACTTCTAATCAAAATTACAGAACATGAGCTGATTCGCGAACACGTATACAGACAGGCAGATAAAAATGTACAGTAATTAATTATAATATTATTCTACAAGCCGGTGCAATAAGTATTGGACCATTTTCTGCCTAAAACTAAAATAAATATTTAGTTTATTGTTGTAATTGTTTATTTGCAATGATGAATATTTATTTATTTGGTCAAATTTCATTGATCATTCACTAATGTGACCCAACTATTAAAATACTTGCATACATACATACATCTACATAATAATACAGTTCAATTCTAGTTTTTATTACAGAAAGAATTTCCCTATGCCTCATTTATTGGCCAATTGCCAAATTAAATGAATAAAGGCAGCACAATTTAACGATGCTTTACTTGGGCAACCAAAATCACTTTGTTAACTGAAATACTGACACATATCCAATGCATTTCAATGCAATATGCCATGCGATTAACATTTGCACACGCGTGTACACACGTACATACGCACATATATATGTACGTATATGTAGTACGATGAGTGGACACTATATATTAATTGGGTGATTCTCGCTTGAGTGAACTCTAATAGTTTTACAGCGTTATATACAATACAATAATATTTGAAAATAAAAAAAATTATTTTGTTATCCTAATTTTCCAGCTTTAGGCGCATTCTCAAAGCTGTTAAAAAAAGTCTTGGTGTGACTTAAAAAATATACAAACGTATTTCAAATTGCGATGAAAATTTTGAAAGAAATTAATATTTAAAGCAATTTATTCATCAATCAATGAAAATAATTTGTTTTGGTATTTTTGCATTAAATAGCAGCGTCTATAAGTTTGCACGTGTAGAGCATCTGAAATCTAAAATCAAATACATTACCATTTGACGCAATTCCACTTGCTAGTACAATACTAAGGAATACCCTTTATATTTTATTGCACATTTGAACATCGTATGTATGTATACATACATGTAACAATTAGACTGCCTGGCAAATTTGAAACACTTAAAATTACGAAATTTTCATTAAATAGAAAATATGTGAACTTTGGAATCAACAATGCATTATATTATTTCGAATTTTATGGTGCCTTGACGAAATTGACGGAGTGATTGCCATTAAATAAATGTATATGCACATACATACATATCTTAAATTGATAAGCAGAACTTCACTATAAATTTCAAGGTCCTTCAATATAAAATCAAAAATTGTATTCCTTTCGTATTGTACATATGTGCATACAGTTATGGACAAAACAATAGAGTCACCCACTCAGATTTTTCAAATGTCAATAAAAAAAAAACAATTATTACAAGAAATTAATAAGAATATTATATTTCATTTTGGTCTTCATTGCTAATGTGAAAGAAACCTTAAATTGAAATTAAAGAAAATGTTTCGAATAACTTATAAAAATTTAAATATTTCACCTTTTTAAAATTTTATTTTATACATGAAAACAGGGTCAAGCCCAAAATGGCGTTTTAACTAAGAGTTTATGTTCAAAACGTAATTTAAAATTAATATTAGACAGAATATCCTTTATTAATAACTACAAATTGTTTTTTCATATTCCAACCTTGTTTTTAACTTTCGCTCATTGACTGTTTTTCATAAAATTTCTAAAGGATTAAAATCTGGAAGTTGCGCAGGCCGATCCATAACATCAACTCCATTGTCCGAAAGTCAGTTTTTGGCCATACCGCATGAGTTTACGGTCATTTTCTTGCTGATATACCCATTTTAAAAGCATTTTCCACTGAGCAAGAGGTGGCATAATCTCATCAAGTAATTGAACGAAAAGGTATGTGTCCATATTTTTCTTAATATAAAATACAGGCACCATTTTGTTGGGTTGATAAAGTTTAAGCTTTTATTTATTTTAACGTTTGTTTTGAGAGTTCCAAACTAAGTGCTCTTAAGAATCCTGATGCTCACAAGCACTCAATAGTTTTCGTCCAAGGATCCCGAAGAATTTAAATTAAATTGCACTTTAAAAAATTATCCTATTATTTTGATCGTAATTACATCTACATATGTAAATTCATATGTAATTAGCTCAAAACTGAAAATTGATGAATATATTTATAATCAATTTCTAATTTTGCTAATCAATATTCGAACTCAACTACAATTATAACAACAAAAAGACCAAAAAGCATACTCCGTTGTTGTTATTTCTCTCTTCCAAAGCCTATGCGTTTGTCTTATACACCTACAAGTATATACATATGTACATATGTAGATATGTAAGTATACAGGTACGTATGCCTGCACCTTCTTAGACTGTTTTCAAAATTTACCTGTAACCTTAGCGTAAATTAAGCTAAAATCAGGTTTTGTGCAAGAAACACAAACAAAAGCGATTACAACCGACTGCAGCATCAAAGGGCAGGTTCGCGTAGCTAAATTTACCAGTGACATACTAGCATGAAAAGAAGTGCGAGAAACTCGATATCACACTGCAGCAGTTCAGCAAATAACTACAACAACTATACTCATATAAATGTGGCAAGCATAATTCACTCGTCGCGGTTACTTCCACAAGTATGTTTGTTTAACGCCTGGCTGATCTCCGGTCTGCTCGCCGAACAATCATCTGTCGGTTGACTTAAGTCCCTTTGCTATTCTATCTTCGCACAACATGTGGACGCTGTTGCACATGACGATTGTTCGTTGCAGGATATCTAGCGAAATACCTAGAATATATATATGCATGTGCCTAAGTATATAATTTCAATTGAACTTCCCTAGAAAGTAAGCAAAAGACACTCAAAGGACAAAATTGCTCTCCTGCATTTACCATTAATGACGGAAAGAAAAGGCAAAGATAATGCAAATACTGACTGACTATTTACTGTTTAGAATAAGTTTATGGTGCCTTTATGAAAAACGGAGAGGTGGCACCTTCCTTTGCAATTTTAAAATATATGTAAAGGTATTTTAAATATGGATAAGTTTTATATTTATTAAAAATATATATATTTGAGCTTACATTGCCAAAAATTAAAATTCTAATGATAAGAGATTATTTTTAATTTATAGGTGGGCATTTAATTTTGACGTTTGGCATAAGCAAGTAACACACTCTTATGTATGTATACATATAGAAATATAGGAGCCTTCACTGCCGGTTCTTGTGTGATACAAAAATCTATAAGCATATTCAATGTATTTGTTGACAAGAATTCTGATGCTCAGTGTTATGCGCCAATTTCTTCTACTCAGTAGATTCTCAAAACATTCTCGCACGCAAATCAGCAAAAGCGCTTAATTTTTTGTGGTGCAGTAAAAATAATAAAATATAAAAGAGGACGTTGTTCTGGCAAAAAGCTAAAAGATCGGTTAAATTTGTATTGCTTTGGATGTGTATGTAACATGCGTACATTTGTACACTTCAATGTAAATATGTATTCATACATTATGTATGAGATATGAATATGAATTAAAAAATATTTTTTATTTATTCACAGCCGCTTACTGGGTTTATTTACTTCAACCGTTAAAATCAAAATTAATAGTTGTATTGTATTTGCTACATATGTATGCATGTAAATAATGTAAACATTTAAGTCGTTATACAGAATAAATCTAATATCCTTTAAACAAAATATTATTGATTTATTGCAATTGATATCTTACGCGGTTGCAATTATACTTCCTTAAATATTATATAACAATTTTTCAATTTAAGATTAGTTTGAGTATAGTATGGTATTTGGTTGAAGGGAAAGCCAAAAAACAAGAAATTCTTTCTCAGGGCTGCGGAAAATGTAACAGGAAAAATATGTGTATATACGCGTACACCACATTGAATTAAAGTTAGTTTTGCGCTATTTAATACAAAATAATTGTATATAAACGAATTAGTGAAGTGTTAATGGATATAAAAGTTAAAACATAAGTGTAAAATTTATTAAAATTCAAATCACAGAAACACGCACTTTAAATAGTTGAATTTTTGAACTTTCAATGCAAATAGCTTAAAAATCATAAGTCTGCAGCAACTAAATGTATATATTTCCTTGGTTAATATATAATTTAGGTCACCCAATGAAGGAGGCCGCGAAAGTAATAATTTTTTTATAAATCGTCTTATTTTCATATTTTTTATATTTAACACACTTTGCACATATTTTTCAAGAAACATAGTTGTTGGTTTTGTTGTTAATTTTTATTTTCGTATCGTATTTATTATCCTCACATACCCATTTTAATCCCGTCTTCTCAAGAGGCTGTTCTGGATTATAAATCCCAGACAAAAAACAAACAAAACGTGTAAAACATTTCACATTACAACTTACCACTTTTAGATTGTTCATCTATCGTTTCCATTGCGTCCATATAACTTTTTTTAAATATTCCAGATATTTTATGTATATAATTTGTTAAATTGCTAACCTTCTCGCAGAGAGGTCACGTAATTTTTAATTCGAATAAAGCACAAACTTCAATAATTCAACTAAATTCCAAAAATGTAAATTTTAAAATGCGCAAACACCAGCGCTCATTGTACACATAACTGGGTTTGCAGCTGTTGACGGACCGGCGATGGAAAATACTCGTAGCTTAGAGTAAAGCAACAAACACCTGGTTTGAAAGTAACACAATTTTTACTGAACGAATATTATTTTAAAAAGAAAAATTATTTGCTTTAAAATCTCACTAATATTAATAGCACCACAAATTGTATGAAACCACTTTGTTCAAGGCACTTTTTTGACATTTTTGCCACTGCACGCACGGTTTCAAGGGCGCGCAAAATATTTAAAGGCTTTTGTTCTGCCAGTCCTGGCAAATTCACAGTTTTCTTTCATATACTCTTTCCACTTTTTATCTAATTTCTTCACTCTTTTACTGTGTCAATTGATTATATTTTTCTGATTTTCTCTGCCATTTACACATCAAATAATTTAGAAAAATCTGCATTTCACATCCCAATGAGAAAATTACTTTTTACCGCCGCATCCTCAAAATTCCAAAGTGAACAGAACACAAAATGCAAAACAACCACCAACAAAGACACTGCGACGCTGCGCTACGAATACGGCGAAATTCAAGTGACTGCGGCGCTCTGCCTTCAAAAATTGAACTTCAACGGACAGATAAATGCTATGAAAAAGTATGGTTATGCTGTGTTCAGTTGGTTTTAACGCTGTCAATAGGGCTTTACTCCGTAAATTTGTTGCCAAAAGTAAGGAACGCGTTTGTCTACAATGCTACTATTACACAGGTGTCGCGTTCAATTTTATTAAATGCATTTTTTAATTATTTTTTATACTTAGAAAAAATAACAAAAGTTTTTCAATGACACATGTTTTAATTGAATGCCAAATTTGATTTTTAAATTAAATTATATCATTTATTGCATATTATATTGGATATATATGAATACATTAATGTAATGTATATAAATATGTATATTGCAATTTAAAGCTAATTGTGTGCTACGTTAGTGTTATTAAATCGATCCATCATAATTATTTATTACCATTTCCAAAAATGTATGTTGTCAAGATTTTCAAACTCGGTATTCGATTAGCCATCCGTACCGCTCGCTGTACTTACACGTCACTAGCGTAAACAATGCATCAATGCAACAATACGTCAAACAGTAAACTGACAGTTCTTCAATACGTCCATCAGTATATAGTTGTTTGTCAATCCTTTCAGTAGTTCAGAATTGGCGTAATCGTAATTACTTCGGTTATTATTGTGACATCAAACTAAAACTTGTTGATGCAGAAATTCAATCCGTTTCCGGTCGTCTTTTCCAATTTTCAATAACTGTCAAAATTCAAAATGCTGGCACCGGATAAGTATCTTTCTCCAATGAAGCAAATGACTGGTGCTGAAGAAAATAGACACTTTTTGCGGGCATTCATACACACATATAGGGACTTGCCTGTGCTATGGGACACTTCCCTGCGGGATTACACAAATCGTGATAAGCGAGCCGAAGCATACGAACAACTTGTACCCATCTATCGCTATCTCAAGCGGGATGCAAATGTCGAAGACGTTAAGAAAAAAATCAACACGCTGCGCACAAACTATCGTAAAGAATTGAAAGTAGTGGAAAGTGCGCGACGCAATGGAACCATTCATCATCCACGTTGTTGGACTTTTCTTGAATTAGATTTTCTACGCAACACCGAAAAGTTTCTAGCTGTCAATCCAAGTACACGAGGTGATTCATTTTCCGCATTTAGTGAAAATTCCCAAACACAATCCTCGTTCATGGACCCACCAGCTTCCAGTTATAATTTTCGCTCCATGATGGGAGCAACCTCACTTCAATCGCCTCCCAGTATTGCCGAAATGTTCCACAAATCTTTTGGACATACGCAAAAATTGGAGCCAGAGCAAACTCCACCACCGTCTGCACCACAAGTGGCCGGTACGAGTTCGTCATCGAATGGACAGTCTGTAAATTCATCAGATTACAACCACACAGGGCAACAAACAGATTCTATAACTGGCTCAGCAAAACGTTTGCGTTTCTCACCGGCGAATGCCACAGGTGTCACCGGTCAGACGCCAGATGAGTTGCTTAGTATAGCATGTGACTACCTTTCCAGTACATTTCCTGAAGAGGAATCTATCGCACGAACTTGGACTCATAAGCTAAAACGTTTGCAACGTGAACAACGTTTGTTGGCGGAAAAATTCATTAATGAAATACTTTTTGAGGCGGAATCAGGTACTTTACATCGTGGTTCGGTGCATATTAATAGTTTCGAGCCATTTGTGCGTTTTGAAGAACACTCAAGTAATGACCAAGAAAATATCAAATCGCAAAGCCCCAGCGTACATACGTCCACCACAACAATATCGCATGATGGTGAAATTAAATCTACTTCGAACGCTGGTGCATCTGAAAACGGTAATGCTAATAATTCTGTTAATGAAAGCGTATACGAGAACTATCAAAACTAAACACTATTTAATTACTTATACATTAAGCTAAAATGTAAATATACTTATGTAGTGCTCAATGGTACTTCTATTATCTGGAATTTGTTATCAAAACATTTTTAATTAAGTTAATTTTTCAATATATTTACATACATGTAAACACTAAAAAATAACGTTTTTATTAAAAAATTATTTTAATGACTAGCAGACAAGTAAGTAATCCATGAAATTAAAAATTTTTAGTTGACGCGTTGGTAATTGGACACACTACGAGCGCACCACACAAATGGTGACGCCGCAGCAAACAACAAACTGGCACCAATCATTGGCCGATGTAGAATCCAGGCAATTGAGGCTATAATTAGTGCAAGGGACAATGATAACATGATATTAGCACCCACGGGGAACTGTGGATCCGGCGCTAAGACAGCGAGAAAAGCGACGCGGCTTACTGCGGGAACAATATACAATATTTTTCATTCACAAATATTAAATCTTGAAACTACTTACACATAATATGTAGTAACTTAGATGTGCACGTAACACCAAAAAATACCAACACCCAACCCATAAAGCGATAGCCCCATGTAGTAAGCCGTTGCGCGTGATGCTCTTGCTTAAAAACTTCCGCAAGTCCGAGTTCTCCATTATATACAAGCAGTATATCTACGCCTCGACTGGTCCGATATGGCAATATTTTGTTATTCATCAGTTTTCCTACTACAGTGTACTAATATATAAAAATGTATTCATATTTGGATATATAGCAACTGCAACCTTTGTTTCTTTTACTAACCATTTCGCCCTCCATACCAGCAAAAGAAAATAGTAAGCGTAAGTCGCCTATTTCTGGATTAAAAACATCGTTTGTGTGGTAGTATAGCCCTAAATGCATTTTTATAGCAGGATCGTCCGGCCTTGTATCGGAAGTCAATTCCACGTAGTTTGTGATTTTATTCTTGATTTCGTTACCTAGTTCATATTTGCCAATGAAGACTGCATCAGCAACTTGTGTTTGACTTTCTAGGGGAAAGCGATCAGGATTTTGATGCCCCGTTCGTATGTAAAAATTACGGGAGTCAATTAATTTATCACGCCATTCCGTATAGTAATAGTATGTACGACTTTCTGTTTGCACAGCTGCAACACTTTCCCCATAATTGTGTTCCCTGCGAAGTAACGCGATTATTTGTATGTGATTCTATAATAACAGTCACTAATAGTCGCTTTGCAAATATTTTTCAAACTATAAAATTACATTTATGTCAGATTTTTTATAAATGCACTTACATTGACTCCTCCACCCATTGAAACATTTGTACCCGACGTTTCAATTTTACGGCAAGCACTTGTATATTGTAGTCTGGTTCAGTAAGTGGTTCCCCAATCACTATAGGACCGGTCATATGTACTATCCGACCATTGTAATTGTATTCTAACTCTTCATTAGGTTCTAAAGTTATTGCATCATCAAGCGCTTCATCGAGAGATAAAATTGTGTGCACAGCTCGTCCCTATAATTGTCAAAAATAGAAATTTTGTGGTTAAACTTAACATCAAGTTAACTACTTGTGTCAGTTTACTTCATTCCAGGAGAGTACGCATAATCCTCCAGTAAAAAGTATACAGCCAAAAGTGGCTATTAGCCAACTCGACCGGAATGCCTCCAAAAGCGACATTACTAATCGCACTACACACGTTTATTCCTTAGAGATAAATGAAACATTTCTTCCGATTTGTAATAAAATACGGATTATACGCTTTCTACAAAATAAGTGATTATTTTATGCGAATTCTGATAATCTCTGCTTCTGACAAAATGCGAATACGTTTAAAAGGGAAGACAGGGAGGTCAAATGTCTAACAGCTGACTTTTAACTATTTCTACCAAAAAATGGGACGAGTAGCTGTTTTATATATACGTAACTGTGTGTGAACCGTTGGTTGTGTTTATTTACATTATTTAGAATAATATTCCACCCTTTTATCTTAAGTAACTTTAAACGTAATAAATAGGATTAAATATATCAAACAATATGGTTTTACCTTCAGCTGAAGACCTTGCAGGTCTGGTGTTCAAGGAGTTTCGGCAATTACCAAAAACTGGAAAGCCCACCACGAACGAGTGGACAATCCTTTCGGCCATAGTAATGCACGATACTGCAAAAGGAACTTCTAAAGTCGTAGCTATTGGCTGTGGCACTAAGTGTATAGGGAAAAGTAAGCTTTGTAGTCATGGTCTCATCCTAAATGATTCTCACGCTGAAGTATTGGCTAGACGTGCACTTCTACGCTATATTTACCATCTCTTGAAACGAGTAATAGAATACAGTGATGAGGGTGTTTTCCAGTGGGATTCTGAAAATGTTTGCTTTCGAATACGACCAGATCTAAATTTTCATTTCGTTAGTACACAGACACCTTGTGGAGATGCCTGTATTCGAAACGAAGCTATTGAAGAAAAAAGTACAAAAGAAGAGCATATAATTAATGACGAACCCACTCAACCAAAACTGAAAAAACGAAAAATTAACAAGGAAAATGATGAAAATGAAGACTGTGCACCCAATGGCGATGATAATGTAGGTGCTCTGTTAGAACCAAGTCCGAATGATGCTGTCTATACTGGTGCGAAATTAATAGGTTTAACGGATCAACAAGATGCCATGGAACAAAAAATCGGCGCCGTCAGAACGAAACCTGGTCGAGGGGACCGCACACTATCTATGTCATGTAGCGATAAGCTGGCGCGTTGGAATGTATTTGGCATGCAAGGAGCTTTGTTGGACATATTGTTAGCGCATCCTATTTATTTTGAAACACTGAATTTTGTTGGTTGTGCAGAAAATGAAGCAGCAATCAGACGTGCAATATATGACCGCTTTATTGGCAAACAATTTAAAACTACCAAATATAAAATTCACAAGCCAACGATAAGGTTCGCTGAGACCGTTAAGTTTGAATATGCTGAAAACGATAACCGAAAAAATCCAGCTCCTACTGGTATATCATGGTGCAATATTCCTATAGATTTAAAGTAAGTTTGTTATACCCCGAACAGGCTATATTAAGTTCGCCACGAAGTTAGTAACACCCAGAAGGAAACGCCGGAGACCCTATAAAAATATATATTTAAGTGATTGCCGTGACTCGCTGAGTCGATTTAACCATGTCCGTATGTTCGTCTGTCGTGTACACGTCCTTTTGTCCCAAGAAGTATCTCATTTGTGGGAACTGGCGATATCGGGCCACTAAAGTATATAGTTGCTATACACACTGAACGTTCAAAGTTAAGTTTTTATTTGGAAAAATTTTTTATTTAACAAGATATATTTACAAAATTTGGCATAAATTATTGTTTAAGACAACGGTATAGTTTTCGAACAAATTGTTCAGAGTCATACACTCTGATCGATCAAAATCCATGTATGGAAAACATTTGTATTAGACGAGATATCTACATGAAATTTAGCAAGGACAATCTCCGAACAGCTTCACATATAGCTGCCATATAAACTGACAGATCACAATCAAGATCAAACTTTTTATATTTCTGAAGGGTATCATAGCTTCTGTGCAGCTGAAGTTAACTTTTTTTCTAGTTTTTATTTAAACTAAATAAAGTTATATCAATAATCATAATTTTGTACCCTTTGTAGACCTTACGAAATCTCAGTAAATGGCAATAAACAAGGTGCTACAAGAAAAAAATTTGGAACCCCAGAAGCTGCAGTAAAAATTAGTAAATACAACCTACTGCAAGAATTTGTGGATATATTACGGGTGGAGCCGAAACTGAGACAAAAATATCGAATCGATAGCAAAGAGCTTACCTATTTAAAATACCATCAATATAAACAATTAGCAAGGGAGTATCAAGCAGCTTGGACCCTGGCTAAACAAAACTACTTTTCACAATGGACTGAGAAACCGCCGAAATTGCTGGAATTCAGTTTAGATGCATAGAAAACATAATCACATTAATAAAAATACACAGATTGAATTGAAATATGGTCAAGTCGTTTATTTCTATGTATAATGTCACTATATATTGGATGTGTGTATGTATGTAATAATTATATTTGTGATATAATTGTACAACTGTATAAATTTTATTATGTACAAATTTTGCTTACCCTCAGCTGAAATAGTTTTAATTTAATTTTTTTGTTTTAATATACGTAACATCAATTTGCAATATCGTGCATGATATTTACCGCAAAAGCTATGTAATGCAAATTTCAATATGTTAAAACACATAAAAGCTTATATTTTGTTTAATACAATCTGTTGTGTAATAAGCATGATTTTTTTTTTTTTTTTATTTAACGCAAACTTTTCACATTTAAAATTGTTTACCGTCAAAGCTTTTAAAAGCACAAATATAGTTGTTTATTTTTATCAACTGTATTCAAAACATTCTTACGGATTTTATACAATCATATTTATTATTTATTATGCGCTTGTGCATGATTTTAATTATAATTATGGCAAACACCATTAAATATTTCAATTAGTTTAAATGTTTGGTGTTGTTTGGCGTGGAATATACTTAACCTCCAAATAAAGAGTTGACAAACGAAATGATTTGAAATTTCAGTTTTTATTGAAATGTAATCAATTTAAAATAGATACAATTTCGTTAATTATATAGACGCTTACGAACGAGTTTAACAAATAAAACTAAGCACATACATGCATATGCACGTATGCATAAAAAATATTTGTAAAATAGAAATAACACAACTCCAAAGGAAGTTAACGAAATTGTTAAAACATAGAAAATGCTATATAAAATTAAAATTATTTTTTTATACAAAGTTGTCATAAAAGCATAAAAAATTGATAAAATAAAAAAGTTATTAGCGCTACTATGTAAAAGGCCCCACAGACAAATATTTTCACTCCTTAAATATGGTATATGCGTATATGTATTTGCAAGTAAATATTTTGAAATATGCTTTATATGTTCCACAAGTAATTTAAAATTCAAAAGTGCTTACATTTTTCAAAATTATGTCATTATTTAATTGTTATATATATCTTTTTTACTTTATTTTATTTTGTTTTTTGTATAAACTTTGCAGGGATAGCAGCAAAAACTAAAAAACAAAAACGTTTATACCTCAGTTTAAGTTATAAATTTTATTTGATTAAAACATATAAATCTAGTGTCAATATATGTGTGTATTTTTTTAACTCATACTTGATTGAGGTCTTAATGTGCCTATAAACTAATTACATGTAAATAAGTAAAACGTTCAAACGTCTTTTTGGTTAGTTTTTTTGTTTATGTATATGGTTTACTCGTCCGATTTGAGTTTTATCACTGTACGTAATGCTTAAGCTATAACTACACACTCATTTTTATGTGTATAAATTGAAAGCAGAAATTTAGAAAAGTTATCGGTAAGACATTCAAGTAACTATCTTCACACACTCTTTTCGAATTCATAGTAAATATGCAAGCCGAAATGTTTGCTAATGCAAAGCTAAGTCCAAACAAAATATTTACTATACAATCTCATATAATTATTATAATAAACTTTATTATGCTTTCAATACATATATTTATATGTATATAAGATCTTTTTTTATTGGGATTATCATTGCATACTCTGATAAATTGGAAATTAATCATATATTATATGTACTATTTTTATTTTTTTTTTGCCTCCAATCGCTTGCAATCCAACCAGTTAATAATTTATTTAAGATTATACCCACTAGCCACACTTTCTAAATGTGTACGGACTTAAAAACTAGCGTTGACTAACATGCCACACAATTAAATAACTCTTGTCGCCGCGATTCTCAATCGTTTGATTTGCCTCCAGTTGAATACTGTTTTCCATATCATTGTCATCTGTAAGTTGCAAAGTGTAAATGAGTATGCAAAATTTACATACATTATTTATAAAAAATCAAAGAATATTTATAATTTGTTTAGTAAAAGATTTTTAAGCTTCGCTTGCAGAATACTAAAAAAAGCGGGTGGTGCTCAAAACCTTTGTAACGGGTACACCAAATAGATGTCTGTAATAGGAATGCAGGTATATAAAAAATGTTGTTTGAGATTACACATTAGAATGCGACTTAAAAGTATGTAATCGCATGTGCGCACCCTAAAGTTATTAAAGCAGTAAAGCATTAGGTTGTTCAAAAAGAAATTAAGTGCAGGCGAATGATTGAGACCAAACTATGTGAAAAGTGTTAATATTACATCTATAAAAAAAAAGCTTTGACTTGTAACCCAAAAGTAAGAAACCAAAATAAAAAAATTTAAAGGTCTAAATAATTTTTTATTTGCTTTTTACATCTCAAATTTGCTTATTTTCAGTTCGGTCCATTCGTTTTATGAATTTAACTCATATAAAAAAGAAGAAAAACGTTAACTACCGTTTCCATTTAAGAACTTGATCGATTAGTTTGTATGGCAGCTATATGCTATAGTACTCCGATATCGGCGGTTCAGACAATTGAGCAGCTTCTTAGCGAAAAAAAAGATGTATGAAAATTTTCAGAACGATATCTCAAATACTGAGGGAATAGTTCGCGTATATACAGACAAACAGACAGACGGACATGGCTAAATCGACTAATCTCGTCACGTTGATCATTTATGTATATATTTGATGGGGGCTCCGACGTTTCTTCTATTCATGTTCCAGAGATAACTTAGGGTCAAGTCACTATAAGTCACACCTCGATAACTTTTTGGTGGCATTTTCAACGAGAGAAATTTTGAGACATTAAATTATATGCTTATCTGAGGAACAATTAGTAATTTAACACAAATATTGGCATTATGTACAAGTATAAGCAGAAACTAACAGAAACGACTATCTGATTTACATAACCAGAACTGAACCGATTTTTTTATCGGAAAAAGACAGTTAATTTGGCGCAAAGTTATTTAGTAAAGTTTGGTGCCATTGCAACAACAAATAAAAAAAATATCGTACGGCGCGAAAACTTAAACTGAAATGTGGGCTTTGGTACACATACCTATGTATGTCAGAGTCAGTGATAAAATAAAATAAATTTCAACTATGTGTAGAGTTAGTAAAGCATTATTAAAAAAAAATCAATTATGTACTACCAATTCCAAAAACTACAATAATATATAAAAAAAAAAACAAGCAGAACAAAATAAAAGTGCAAAAATAAATTGTGTTACATCAAAACTACTACAACAAAATAATTAGTCATTGTCAGAGAGAAGCAACTCAGCTTTTCACCACTTATGTACCAACAATTTGTATTATCGTTCTTGCAATAAACTTAAGCCATATAGCATATATAGCAAAAGTAAACCAAAACTTAGCATGATAAACAATAAAGAAGGAACGGGGACAAAATAGTATTTGGATACAGTATTTTTTACACAAACAAAGAGAGGTAAAACATAAAAAAGAAAAAACAACAAATGGAATTTAAAATAAGTATGTGAAAACCTTATTTTGGTATTGAATCAGGTAACTGCCGTTGCATCAACAAATTTGCTGCGCTGTGCATGTGAATTAAAGTTAATATAGTTTAAGGCACAATTTTTTCACTGATCACAACGTATGCAGCAACAGCATACTTGGTAGCATGAACTACTAACGTTAACGCGTGGGTATACAGCTGCAATGCGAACGCGTTGTATTGTGTCAACACATTTGTACGTAGCCATATCCACATCTCTCAATCACTACAAATTATATGTACTATAAGAATTTTGAAAAAACAAAAAAGATATAAAGAAAAAATAACATATAATATGGAGTAGATGATTTCATTTCAAAAAGTTTCAACAATGAATTAGATGCAATGGAAAAGCAATTTTGTTAACATTGTTTTTTTTTTTAATTTTTTTATTAAGCGCTAAATTTGAGTTAGACTTTTAAATGGTTAGTTTAGTTGTAGGTAAACTTCGAATACAACATAAAACATAAATATATTCTTTTTGTTTTGAAATCAACAAAATCAAATTCGAAATAAAAATTTTTTAAAAAAAGGCTTACGTATCAACTTTCCAAACTATCAAATGCGCCTCATTATCACCAGGATCGGTTATGGATTTTTCTTGCCCTGCAGACAACAATATAGGTTGAATTCAGTGTGTGAATTAAAAATTAAGTGAACATTCACGCAAATATTGTATATATGTATCTAATTATATAATTTAAATTGAAACAAATAAATATAACTAAATAAACTATATATGAGGGAGGAAACGATCGATTCGGAAAATAGTGTGAAAATTAGAGATGCCTTCCAAGTGTGTAAATAATAGACCTGAATATGAAAGAGCGCACACACTACAACTAGCAGAAGCGATTTTAGCTGCTTTTGGTAAACACACTACACGCTCTACACTCGCTTAGAAACTAAAATATCGTATATAGTATATGTAGTCTATATAAGGTGTACATCAACGTAAAGCGATGACTTACTTATGCGAAAATCGATGTAGCCTTCGCCGCCACACATGACTAGCATATCCGGCCGTTTGTTGGTGAATTGCAGTTGTCCACTATTTTGTAGCTGCATTGGTACGGATACGAAGAACTTAACCGCATCACGATGACCGTGGAACGAAAGCTGAGCATTAGCCATGCAACATAACGGTATTTGACTATTGGGATCAGCTGCAAGAGAGTTACAAATTCGTATTTGCATTGATCCAGATAATTTGTATATAAAAAAATATTACTTGATTTGCCTTGACCCTCCGATAATGGCACCGAAATTATGACACCGTTACTGGTACCGATCCACAAACGATTGCATGATACCATCAATGCAGTAATGCGCACAAAAGAGAAACCCAATTTGCCAGTACCAAGCATTTTCGAAACGTACGGCTCGATATCCACATCCTGCTTGTGCTCGAAAGTGTTCGAACTGTATAATCGCAGCGTGGAGTCCAAACTGTGGATGCAAGAAAAATATCAAACGAATTGTAAAAAAAAATGCTATATGCTATAGTAGCTGGATCTAAACAATTTCTTCAGAGTTTGCACCGTCGCTTTGGACAATAATCCATGCCTAGTTTCGTGAAGATATCTCGTCAAATATAAACGTTTTCTTACAACAACTGGATTTTTATCGATCAGTTTGTTTGACAGCTATATGCTATAGTGGTCCAATCTGAACAATTTCTTTGGAGATTGTACTGATGTCTTGGGCTGTAATTCATGCCAAATTTCGTGAATAAATATAATAAAATAGTTTTCGACACAAGGATATGATTTTGATCATTCAGTTTGTATGGCAGCTATATGCTATAATGGTACGATATATGTATATGCTTTGGCGGTTCCGATCATGAACATGAGACAGATATATAGACAGACGGACGGAGATGGCTATATCGACTCAGCTTGTCATGCTAGTCATTTATATATACATTTTATAGAATCTTCCACGTTTCCTTCTGGGTGTTACAAACTTTGTGACAAACTTAATATACACTATTCAGTGTTGATTTTACAAACGTATAAAACTTACCGTATGGAAACCCATACACCTGAGCCGGTAGCAGCCATTTGTCGCACTTGGCTCTCCTTACGTGGATGCGCCTCCAGCGAGTGGACGATGCTCAATGAGATCGGATCGACAATATAGATCTTGTTGCGGTGAGCAGCCCAAATGCGTTCGCCAGCCACACAGAGGCAACGTATCGAATGATTACGATCACCCAGCGTTACCAGGTGATAACTATTCAGATCCCATTGGCCGTCTGTTTGGCGGCGAAACACTGCCAATTGAGCATTAGCTAGGGCTACAACAACGCGAGATTCCACATGCACTATCGCTAGGACGGCATCGGGCAGGAGAACCTTATGCAGGCATTCATGCCAGCGACCTACAGCACTATGCACATACAGCCAACCTTCCTGATCGCCCATCCACATGGTCGGCCCAATCGAAGTCATTGGCGGATCCAGACGGTTCTTCGTACCCAATATTGGGTTGATGGGCTTCGAGAAGGACGGCTGCAAATTGTTATTGTTGATGTTCGCTTTGGCGCTAATCACACTGCCGTCGTCCTGTAAGCGTTGTGGTGCACCCGGTAGCGCCTGTCGCACCTTAATCTCTTGTATATTGCCCAATGGCTCGTTGGCCGCATTTTTCGTATCATCTGCTATTTTTTCAACAGCCTCCTTTGCATTTTCCTCAACCGCAGCCGTCTCAATAGCTATCACCTCCTCTGCCTGCTCATCTGTTCTGGCGCTTTTATTGGTGTTACTGTTTTTGTCGGCTTTCGGACGCACACGCACAAATTCAACCTTGCCAAATGATTCGGCACCTTCGCCGGGATGCTCCAGCATTTCACCGGCCTTAAGCACTTCAGAGTTCTCTAGCAGCGCGTAATCCTTCTCCACTGCGCCTATAAAATTACAGTTATATATATTATATAAACTAAACCAAAAATTTTGGTATATAAATGCACTCACCTTGCACGGAGGCAATGCAAAGCATGTGTGATGCGCATATGGGAAACGCGTCTAGCACGACTGCCGACTGATTGGCATCCACCACTGTTACTGTGCTCGCCGCATGCGTGCTCGTGCATATCCACACATACGATGATAGTTGGGTTTCTGGCTCCAAATTGGCTAAACTCGCACGATTTATTTGCCGATCGAGCGCTTCAGCTGAGTGCTCTGCTGTAGGACTGGTAATCTCTGCGATCTTAGCTGTAGAACGTGGGGCATATGATGATGTCGACGGTATAACTGAACGCCCATCTTTGGTAAAACCACCGTTTAGATTCACACCGGCAGCACAGAACACTTTCATATGTGGCGATGCTTCGGCTAAAGGGTTGCAATAGACTGGTACCGGCACACCGCCAGAATGACGATTCTGTTGCTCTTGATTTGTCTTATTTATGGGCAAACTCCAGCCGTAGGCTTGCAAACGACCATCCTCCTTCTGTACATGTGCACGCAATTGTCGATATTGTTCGCGCCGTCGTGCGCTTGCACGTTCCGATGTACCCTCCTCAGAGTAGTCTTTTGTGATCAATGCATTTGCTAGGCCCGCACTGGCGGGATGTGGTGGTGGATTTGCACTGTCGCGTGCGCCGGTTATGGCAAGGCGATTGTCGCTATTTCGACTGGGGGATCCGTGACTGTGAACTGGGCTGGAGTAGCGAAACATAGGCCCCCCTCCTTGCCCGTCAGCGACGCGCTCTTGCGGGCGATTGGAGGGGCTACATGTATATGAAAAAGAGGAAAAGATTTTATTTTACTTGTCGCGCATGCAAAGCAGCTACTTACGTGAATAAACTGCTAAAATATTTCCATATGCTCTGCTTGGACTTTTTGTCCAAATTGTCGACGGTGCGTGAGGCGCGTAAAATCTCTGTCAAACGCACCGCCTCCTGCAGCTCCATCAGACGTTCTTTGTATTGATTGCGCTCCATCAACACCATGGCCATTTCCACACGCGTAAAGCGTTTGCGTTGAGCCAATGGTACATCATTTTCATCTTGTTCAGTGTCATCTGAAAACAACAACAACACAAAAGTGTTAGCTCGTATTTGTAAAAAAAAACAGAAAATATTTTCAAACAAACGCTTACTTTGCTGCTTAACTTGCTCCTTTGTCTTTTTCAGCTCCTCCTCCAGCTCGCTCACCTTCTGACGCAATTTGTTGCGCGATTGCTGCATTGCATTCAATTCTTCGCGCAGTATCTCAATCTCACCAGTCAGCTCATCGACTTTCGCTATCAAGTCGTCCTTAACAATGTTCAAAGCATTCCTGGAAATGGATAAATATTTTTTAATTGATATAAACACAAATATATGTGTGTTGTTGTACTAACTTCGTTGCCAAAAGTTCATTATTCTCCATGATGAGGTTTTCCACTTCTTTGCCCATGCCTGCAACAAGTTGTGAGGAAAAGCGTGTTAAGTACTAATTTATACATATTTTAAGTTATTATTATGAATAAAATAAATGTTTGGTGATATGAAAGAGCGTGCAAATAAAGAGTTTACATTTAAAAAAATGCAAAAAAAATTGCTGCTTACCATACAAATAAATAATTATAAAAAAAAAAACAAAAAAAAATAAAATAAATAATACTTTATAATAAGGAATATTTTAAAGCGAAAGAATTTTAAAGAAGCAAAATGTTTAAAACTTAATATGAAATACTTTGTTGTTATATACAGTTATAGTTTCAAAAACAAAAATACGACACATACATACATATTTCGTAATTTATGGATATGACAATGTTAGCTTAAACGTTAAATTTGGCTTTATTTGTGAGAATACCCATTAAGTGTAAATATATATATAATTTGTTTTTGTTGTTGTAGAGGCTATATAACGGTATTTTCTAGTAAAACATCGAGCTCAAAAAACGAGCTGATTCGACTGGTTTGATTTCGGCATGTTGTTGTTGTTACGATACAATTTTTAAAAATGCTGTATGCTAATGCCAGTACCGACTGTCGTGGAAACAGTAGACGACGTCTATCGGTAAAAAAAAATTTTGAGACCGGAAAATATTTTTCGTTTCGAATTTTCTTCTTCGGATTTTAAAAAAACAGCGATTCGTTTTTTTTAATTTTTAAGAAAATTTTGAGATATAGAATATCTTTTTCAATAAACATTTTTCCACTATAAAAGTCTAGAATTTGCATAGATATTGTAGTGTTGTCTTGGACAATACTGCAAGCTAAATTTCTTGAAGATAATTTATATAATAAAAACGTTTTCCATACAAGGACTTGATTGTTATGGGTCAATTTGTATGACAGCTATATGCTATAGTCGTTCGATTTGAACAATTTATTCGGAAATTGTTGCGCTATCTTGAATAATAACCGAAGTCAAATTTCGTAATGATATCTGTCAAATTAAATATTTTTTCATACACTTGATTTTGATCGACTAATTTGTATGACAGCCGTATCCTAGTAATGCGTGTAACAGACAGACGACCATGGCTAAATCGACTCGAAACTTATTTATACGTTAATAAAAGTTTGTGCAGATTTTCGTTTAAAAATAAACAATGAATGATGACAATTTTTGAAAATAAAAATTGTATATACTACAATAATATATAATTTTTTAAATACAAAAGCAAAACCCACCAAAACCAGCATTGCTAACACAAACTATATTTGCAAGGTTTACAAATTCAAAATTTACCAATGATAGAAATAACATCGAGCTAGTGTTCTACTTTTTTTTTTACTGTGTATATACGAAACCGGCGATTTGCCGTAACTTACCGAAATAGTTGTCGTTAGCTTTATGAACGAGAGCAATCGCAAATAGATTTTCATTGACCATAGTTCGTTTTTTGTCATGTAAGGCATTTCGAGTTATCCAGCAGCGAATGCACGAAACATGAGAATTAATCAAACGTTTTAAATTTCATCCAAAAATGCCGTGTTAAATATTTTTCATATGTTTTCGTATTTACATGCGTGTATGTTTTCGTTCGTTCGATAGTTATTTATGTTTCGAGATAACAAAATTTCGAGTATTCAGTATTGAGAAAGGAACAGGACAAAAGAGATGATGAATTCGGTTATACATTGTTGTTGGTTTTTTAAATATTGTACATATATATAATTGAGTTATCACCCAACAAACGGGCTAGATGAGTTGCCAATTCAGTTTTTTTTTATATGACTTTCAACTTAGGCGATTACAGTTATTAGTTGGTGTTTAATATATTTACATGTGACATATATAAATCCATAGATATATGAATCTTGATACCTACCCGAAGAAGCATATTCGCCAGGATGTACCCAGCTTCCTGTGTTGCGTGGCAAGGCAGACGAGAGCGAGTGTGTGAGAGAGGGCGAGAGCATAGCCATCAGCGCACACAAACAGTAGTAATTGCAAGACATTTCCGCAAAGCATAGTATTATTGTTGTATATTATATTTAGCATATCATTAAAAATTCAATTTATGTGCGTATTTTGTGTTGGAGCGCGTGAGACAAGCATTTCGGGGACATTTCAAATTGTTGCAATTTCAAGCAGCACAGAGACGCATAATAAGAGAGAACAAATGTGAGCATTTATCAAAATTTTAAATATGGTAACTATAAGTAAATAATATATATATATATATGTATGTATGTATATTTGAGTGTTTATTTCGCAAGTTGATTATTTTTTTTTTGTTTTGCAAGCGCCCCTGATGTTGCAGTTTATGCCTTAAAAACAGATATTCAACGTAAATAATCTCTTTATTTTGAATTTAAACAGTGTTTAAATTATAATGCTTTTCCCATGTATAGTACAGCATGGAATTTTCTGGAATTTTACATTAAGCAAGTAATTTTTTCATAAAAACTTTCTTTTAAAAGTTATACGCAATTAAAGTTATACATCAAATGATCTGAGCATTCAACAAGTGATTTATGCATTTTGTGTTGCTCATACGACATGGTGTACAATTGCGCATAAATTTTAAAGGTATGTGATTTTTTATGAAAAAATCATTAGAACCTTTTTTGGTAATTTTGTATTAGAATATCGTCTTTTCAAAGTTTTAGCTTAGTTTATTTTGGAGATAAAAATCAAAAAATCTAAATCATAAAGAGCTCGTTTACCTTGGATGTTTTTTAGAGCAAAAACTGAAACTAAAGATGGCGTTTGCAAAATCAAAAATCAACTTGGGAAATAAGAGACACTCTAATGTATATATATAGAGAGAAACATGTATTTATGTACACATAGTTTTAGTTATGATTAATCATATGAATTAAATTACATGTGTTTTAGTATTGATGCAGGTATTTTGGAATATATTACATATGTGAATAATAATGTAAAAAATTATAATAGTGATGTGGTTTTGAACAACCAATTCGGTAAATAAAATTTTTCCCGTGTCCAGCAACGCGGCACAGTGAAGCAGATGAGGTAAATACATGTTAAGAAGTTAGCCCACATACCTGTAACAACTTCATGCTCTTCACTCTCTTCGTTATCTTGAAAGGACAACTCTTGGTATAGGGTATTAGCAGAGCGTTGCTCCTTTTTGGTTGTTGAACGCCCAACTGCGCGCGTATATTCAATCATTATTCAAAAAAATAAATTACAAATTTAAAATTTTGGTTTGGTTTGGTTTGTAAAGGAAATGGAAAGGGTTAATAATTTTTCAAATTATTTGAGGTTAACACGAATGCAGTATAGTGGAGTAAAAGGAAAAAGATTAAAGAGATAAATAAAAATTATATTAGTATAATTTGAATACAGTTATTGCTTATACATAAGATAAGTGTGCAAATTAAAAAAAAAAATTCACTCACCATTGGCTGGTGCATTTGGCACAACGGGACTCGTTTCACTTTGCGGTGATGTGGCTTGATTCTGCTGTTGTAATGTGTCCGTCTCAGCCGCGCGCTCCACCGTCTGCAAACTATCCAATTCATTTTGCAAAGATGGTGGCCCCGAATCATCCGAATTGCTGCCCACACTACATATTGTCTCTGTGTCTAGCATGGCTGAGTTTTCGAGCGACGCGAAGCCGTACGATACTGGACCGGATGATCTATAAATGGCATGACAAGTTTACCATTAAAAATATATTGATATAAAAAATAGTAGCTTTTAAACCAAAATGAATTTTGTAAACAAAAAAAATTTCGAAAATGCCATCAATTGAAAAACAAACAAATTTACGTATTACCGAGCAATTGGATTTAACCTGGCTCGATTCATTTCTAAGCGCTCCGAAGCCGAACTCATTTGTGAGTGTGCAGAGCCCATGAGCATTTTGGTGCGTTCCATGTAGTCAACATGATTTTTGAAAAGCTCCGTATAACGTTCATGCAGTTTATTATACTCCTAAAATTAATTTATTAAATTTAATCATAAATTCGTAAATTGAATTGAATTATATATGCATGTTTAACCTTCTTCAGTTCAGTCTCGCGCTCCTCCAAGCGGCTCGCATGTTCCAAACTATTTTTATGCTTCAATTCGAGCATTCGCACAATGCTTTCCAGTGACTCCAAGCGACTTGCCAACTCCTTGTTTTCTTGTTCAGCCACATCCTCCGATTCCAGCAGCTGCAAATTTGTGAAATTAAATTTTTAATTAATAAAATTTTATTTAATATTGTATATTCGGAAATGATTGTTTACCTTCTGTTCGGATTGTTTGCGTGCACTCTTCTCGCGTTCATATTGTGTGACCAGCTGCTCGTTGTCCTCACGCAACAGCTCCAATTCAACATCCTGCTCCTGATTTATGCGATATGATGCATCCAGGCATTCTAAGACATTCACCAGTAGTGGCATAAGATTCTTCACCACGTCCTCGTCATAGCGATTAATCATGCGTTCGAATTCTTGATATATACTACCAGCTAATTGTTGCACCTAGAGAAGAAATACGCTGGTTATTGTTTGTTAGGGATGAATAGCTTGAAAAAATGGAACGAACAAAGCGAATGTGATAAATACGAAACGCACTTTTATTCAGCTAGTCTAGATATTATATTGTATATGAGCTTGTTTATAATCTTAAAAAAAATTAGTTTCAAAACTTAAAATTTCTAACAAATGAAGTTTTATATTATAATTAGCAACCCTTTGTAACTGTTCATATTTGCAGAAAACTAAATAAATCTTCCTTACTCTGCTAGAGTATAAGAATATATTTTTAGTAAACTGAATTGATACAAGATTCTGAGAAATAGTAGAAGAAGCAGACTTAAGAATTACCCAATTAATTGATGCTGGGTAAAAATTAGATTTACTTAGTCATTAAATTTTTTTAATAAAAATTATTCCAAAAAGATACTAAGCCCTCATTAGCTTCTTCAGCTTTCACCTGCTTTCGTCAGTGCCTATTATTACAATAGACTTCTTATTACTCATTCCAGGCTTGTCTGTACCAATATGAAAACTCTTTGTGCGAGTTCCACGACTTTAAGCAGTCAGTATCTGTTGTTATTGATTTTTTAGGTAATTTTATTGCCATCAAAGTCATACAGCGA